TATTTCAAACTATGAACTCTGTTAGATTATATTACTCTTGAAAGATAAAAGGTTTAGACAATTAGTTTGCGGCAAAGACTAATTGTTCCTTTCTGTCCAAAAACAATGACCCAAAATAATAATGTTACAATTACAATATCCGTAAACCATTTTGTTAACAATTTTGAAGTGTTTTTTTAACATTCAAAACGCTTCTGGTTGGAAGAAAATATATGTAGGGTAGGGGAGGAGGGAGACTTCTTCAAATACAAATATTTGTAAATGTCAAGAGCATCTCAGTTAAATATATTTTCTTGGCTGGACTGTAAAATATTTTGTTTACTAAAAAAACGTTAAAAACTTATAACCCATTATTTAAAAAATGTATGGACCAATTTAGATTTTTATGACCTTGGTTCCTTAAAATCTTATTCTGTTATCCATGCCCTGTACCGACCATAGTCAACTGTTTTGATCCTAAACTAGTGATCAGCAATACGAATAGATGGTTTTACCAGATAGTGGGACAGCTCTAAAGAACCAGTTTTACTCTAAACTAACAAAATTTAGCAAAGATAAATTACTCAGGCCCGGCAATCCTTGTAAACACAGGGGTCAATATAATTCCCAAAAAAGCTGATTTTCTCGATCCCAAAATAATTTTTTGCCCCCAATTTAAAAAAAAAATGCCTCCAAGAACACTAACAATGATACATGGTGCATGATAAGTTATACATGAATACAAATACAAAGTACAGTTAATAATATATTTATTATATTTGTCTTTATTAGTTTCTGCAGTAAAATATCCTAACAATGCAAAAGCTGGAAATTTACTTTTTATTGCGTCCAAAAATATTCTCAAACGTCATGAAAAACAAGTTCTTCATAAACATTTTCTTTTTGAAGTTATTTAAAATGGGGCATGCCCAATCAGAAACGGTAATGTGGAAGATATCGTTGCTTCCTTGCTTAATTGTTTAATTTTGACGATTTCCTCCATTGTATCCCTTTAAGCTGTCCTTTAATTATTATTTTGAAAATGTCTGTGCTCTCAAAACTATTCTTTTATTGACTATGGAGAATGTTTTTCATAATTTCAACAATAAGGATTCTAACATTTCACAGAGTTTTACAACATTTGCATTAGCAAGATCATTTCAGACACTGATACTTTAAACCAAGAACTTGTAGGGATGGGAATCATTTTGTGTTCCATTTTTGGACAGTTCACATTTGTTTAAAAACTAATAAGAGGCTACGGTTAAAAACAAGTGTAAAATTGATTTGCTAATTATTTTTGAAAAAAATGCAATGTAATAAAATCAAATTTGCAGAGAAATTTGCTATCTCAAATTCCATAGCACATCAAAACGAAACCCATCCCTACTTGTACATTTTTAACAAGTTAAACTGATTTTTCCCTTTTTTTGCACAAAATCCAACAAAAAAGTTATATATTTTGAGTAAGTGTTTGAATGATTATGCAGCAGAAATTATAAAATAATCAAAACAAAATATAATCCGATATTTTTTACAGTGAACAAGTTAGAAATGGTTTTATTTTTAGATATTTATGTAGTTCGGAAAAGTTAAGTAATTGACAATATTGTTTTACAATGTAAATATTTCACAGCCTAATTTTGTTCAAATTTTAATTACAAAGCTGTAACAAATGTTAACTTTACGGGGAAGTTATATATTTGTATTGTACACTAACATCTGAAGACGACATATTTCTAGTTTACGCGGATTTTTTCAAAATTTTACTTAAATTGTAAAGACGACATTTCTTTATTTCATATATTATCTCTAAACATTATTTGAGCTTTACAACCTATTAGATAAAAAAGGAAGGCAAAAAACCAAAAGAGGAAATAAAGGGGATTATGAAAATGAAGATGAGGATGAGGATGAGGATGAGGATGAGGATGAGGATGAGGATGAGGATGAGGATGAGGATAAGGATGAGGATGAGGATGAGGATGAGAATGAGGATGAGAATGAGGATGAGGATGAGGATGAAGATGAGGATGAGAATGAGGAACTACAGGATGAAGGCCAGCCAGTAGATTATGTTGAAGATGAAGAACAAGATCGGAAAGGAAATCAGGAAGAATTTGTCAATCCTGAAAAAATAAAAATAAAACATCTAAAATTGATCATTTTCTAGTTCAATTAATTTACGATTAAATACCGAGTTGAACTAGATTAACCTCTTGTAATGTATATTTTTATTCAAAATGTTAAAAGTGGAATGTTATTAACACTAAACTAAATTAAAACTCAAAAAAATCAAATATTAAGAATAGTAGAATTGTAACTACAGAATTTGTTATTTGTCACCGTTAAGCTTTGAGTATAATCTCCTATAGTTGAAAGTTCGGTTTTTTTGTATATATATTGTTAATCTTGAACGATTAAGCTAGACATCCAATGTGGAAACTTTTAAATTTAAGGACAAATACTTTATCTCTGCAGGGTGTCATAACCCGCAGGAATAACTTTAATTAAGAGATCATGAACGGAGTATCAAGAGGAATTAAATTCATTGATCTGCATCAAATAGAGATCAATGCACCCCAGTCTAAAATTTGCATGATCCCTGCCGGTACAACACATAATGTATATGCATACGGTCGTACTGTCCAGTCAAGCTACCCAGTTTCAAAGTGAATAAAGTGGAACAGACTAAGGCAACGACGACAGGTTGGGCCATAAGGTTTTATTTGGTTTGGAAATAATTGCATGAAAAGATTTCATTTGGAAAGTAAAGACTAGAAAAAAATAGACTAAGGACCCATGTATATGTCGTCTTCAGCTAGAAATTCAAAATTTTCATAATCAAAAATTAAAATTTTTCGTATGTTTGTATGTGTTTTATATGCAAATACTATATAGTCGCTTAATAAATTCATTGATTTTGCCTGGCAGGCTTGCAATTCTAATTCTATAAGAATTTATCTTTAAAACTGGTTAGTTTTGTGTTGCCCCCCCCCCTTAAAAAGAAAAAGAAATGGAAGCCCTTCCTGGGAAAAAACCTGAATACGCCTCGCTTAATATCATTAAGAGTAGTTGAGAACTCTTAAATCTATCAAAAAAGTGAAGACCAAGAGATATATTTCGAAGATCTTTATTTTTCGATTTCACAAATTCTGCATTCCTTGTTTTACAGATTATGCATGCAGTCATTATTGTGCTGTCTGAAATTATTTATTATGCAGTAAAATGGCTAAAATTCACTTCTAAAATCTTAATTTACGTTAATCTATATTTAAGTTAAATTCAAATTCTAAGTCTGTGTTTGTAAATAAATGGGAGTCCAGTTTCTGTTGTATACTGTGCACTCCGTACAGACCAATTTATATACAGGGTGTCCCACGAAACATGACAGTTAGTGAATAGTTTTGAATGTCTTCTTCCCAATATTTTATTGAAATTTAAGACTTTTTGCAGTTTATTTCGTTTTAAAAACATTTTTTTCTTAAATTTATTTTACTTTGAAATCATTTTTATTACAAAAGATCAACATAATTTATGTTTTATCATTCTCTTTTTTATCAAAAAACAAAACTAATTATGGAAGAAGACATTTTAAATTAAATCATTTTGAAAAATTTAATAAGGTTAAAAGAAATTTTTTTGCAGAAATTGCTGATTGGAGATAATCTAATATGATATGGGACGCTCTGTATATTATTTTTAAATACTTGGGACATAAAATGTCGTCATCCAACTATGAGTTTGGCCCACTTCAGTATTTAATCACTTTGACCCAGTTTAGAGTCGACTCAGCACGTGTTATGCAACAAATATAGCTTGGTAAGATCCATGTAAATGCTATATCCTGAGATACAACACAATAGTTCTGACACATTTTTTTAGAGTTTTTACAATTACAGAAGACAAATTTTTGTTATGAACTGTATGATGTTGACATTAGCTAAACTTGATTTTATTCGTTTCATAAAAATTATATTGATTTAAGAACTTGATACGAAACTAATTTATTATACCTCCAATATTCTTCAGCTAGCTGTTGCATTGTTACAGCATGCCTAGCCATAGTCTTCTCATGTACCTCGTACTTGAAGTTATCCTGGCGGCAGGGGACCATATGTACTTGTGTACAAAAACCGGTTTGGGAAAATCGAATTTTTTGTTTGAGATTTCTACATTTGTGTAGATATGTTGATTTAGGGTTATCCGCAAAGGATGAGACTTCAAAGACGACAGTACGTAATTTATATGGTATTTTGTTCTTACATTGATCTAAAAAGACTACATTTATCTCATACATTGTGAGTAACCCTATATTAGAAGAAAATACTAGTAGAATCATAAAATTAATACCCATGTTTATTGGTACACCTAGTTGTGAAGAATTGGAAAAAGTATGTCATTTTACCAAATCCTGTTAAGCTAGTTAAGGATAGTTTTTGTTATTGTTTTTCTCTTGTGGGAGTAGTATGGACAATATACACATACTATCTCTTGTTTTTGTATGTCGAAGAATCGTCGATCTATGACAAGGTATGAGAAAACTCTGAAATAGGAAGACGATTTTTGACTCAAGTTATGACATTAGACGCTTCAATTGTTCAGTGTAAAGTCGTCTTCCTATTCCAGATTTTTCTGTTTTTCACTGTAACATGTTTAAGTTATATTTAAATTGTTATTACAGGTAAATAGATTTATAAGTTTGTTCCATTTTCATGCTCAGCATATCAAGACAAGAGAGAAAGAGAGAAAGAGAGAAAGAGAGACAGAGAGAGACAGAGAGAGACAGAGAGAGACTAGGAGTACTAGGTGTCCTATGAGTACTATGAGGATGAGGGGGACACATAAGGGGGGGGGGGAAGTCATGGAAAATACATTTCCTTGTATTCATGGGAAAGTTTTTTAATCAACCGAAAACGTAATTTACCAAGTTTAATTACAAAAATCCTTGAAACTTACAAGAAAAGTTCGCAACAAATTCTCAGCTTGAAAGAAGTCAATGATATGGAATAAAAACGACGATATCATCCACATTTTTCATTAAATAAAGATAAAGTCCCTTTAAAATAACTCTAAATCCAAAATATTGTGGAAAGGCCTAAAAGCAAGTAAATATTTGTTTAATATGGTCTCCTTCCCTTGCACACTATTCTTAGATTTACTTTATGCTGGCTTGACACATACTTCTGCTTCTTAAACAGGATAGCAGCATATCTAAACATATATTATTCTTATTAAACAGTATAGCAGCATATCTAAACATATATTATTCTTATTAATGAGTATAGCAGCATATCTAAAGCCTACAAACAATATTAGTGAAGAAAAGAAAAGAAACAAGGACAAAATGAAAAGTTATAATCCAGACTGATTTCTTTTAAGAGCGTCACAATTACTGTCTCTGGAAAATAGGGATAAGAAGACCCAAGGGTGAGAGGGGGGTGGTTGTGGTGAAGGGGGGGGAGGGGGTCCGGAGGATGTTACTTTAAGAACATCTGAGAAAATAGATTCTTTGATCTTGCTGTAGGAGTTGAATTTCATTTCAAAGGGGCCGAAACTTGAGCACTTTTTCTACTTGGACATTTCAGGAATTCGAGAAAAATAAATAAAAAAAGATCTGTCATTTTTTCTCCTCCAAAAAAATATATTTTTATCAATATCTTTTTGCACTCTCAAAGAATGTTTTTTTCAGAAAGTTATTTTCTATGATGAATGAAGTAAATCTGAAGATTCAAAGTATTCTTGAAAATAGTGTTTATGTTGCAACCAATACTTATGACAGGTTGACAGGAACACTAATAAGGTTAATCTCACTCCCATAATTCTCCAACTCTACTCCAGTATTAATATATGGTTTACCTAGTTCTCCTATATTTATAGTTCTACAGTGGACACTTCTTTAACATAGAGAAAAGACTTTGTTCTGCGGGTTTTTACTAGAGATGAGCACTTTCGGCTTTTTCATTTCGATCTTTCATCGTTCGTGAGCGTCCCTTCTCATTTTTTTGTTAGAACAAAAAAGTTGATTTTGTTTATTCTTAAAATTATTATTCATTTTTTTTATTTTGTTCGTTTTCTCGAGGAACGATCGCTAAGTTAAATCGCCTGTTAGTAAAAATCTTTTTTTTTCAGTAAAACCGTTTATTCAAGAAAATCGTTCCTTCAGTAAAAATTACAGTTTTTTTTCCAAAGTTTGTATAATAAAATCATTTGAACGATTTTAAATCATTCTTTTTTCAAATACGAAAGTTTTTTATTTCTCTGAATGATCCAAGTTGTTCGTCCATTGTCCTTTTTGTTTTTGAACAACACCATCGTTCACGAAATATTTCGTTCGTTCTCAAAGATTTTGTTCGTTTACAAAAACGATGCCAATCTCTAGTTTCTACATACAATTCTTGGTCCCTGTATAGTAGCGCAGACGAGGAGTATACATTATAGAGATGTCTCAATTCAGCTTGAGAATCAAATGTGTGTGTAGTGGTGGGACGTATCTAGGTTCGTTTTTCAAAAATCTTTTTGGTTTTTTAACTTTCAAGAGGTTCAACCAGAGAAGTTTAACAAATTTCAAAATTGTTTATTCTACACATTTGATTTTCTTTCATTTTGCCAAATTTGGGACTGAGAGAAAGTATATAAAAAATAAAAGGATACAAATATTGAATTGTTTAAAACAAGCAAATTTTTACACGATACAGTGGTTCCTTTTAAAAAAAATCTCCAAAACGAACCAAGCTATGTGTAGTGTGTGTAATGATTGGAATCATTAATATCTTAAGTTTTGTTAATATCTAAAATATCAAATACAAAAATGAATTTATGAACGTATAGAGTTTATACATACTCTAGACCAGAGGTTACAGACCACATTAATTTTAGAGTACCCTCTTATTGTATTTCTTACCATTTGGTAAATAAAATAGAACTAAAGGTATTGGGAGTACTTGGGGTTCTACTTACTAGGAGTACTATGAGTACTAGGAGTACTTGGGGTTCTACTTACTAGGAGTACTAGGTGTACTATTAGTACTATGAGTACTATGAGTACTAGGAGTACTAGGTGTCCTATGAGTACTATGAGTACTATGAGTACTATAAGTACTATGAGTACGTTGAGTACTATGAGTACTATGAGTACTATGAGTACTAGGAGTACTATGAGTACTATGAGTACTATAAGTAATATAAGTACTATGAGTTCTATGAGTACTATGAGTACTATGAGTTCTATGAGTACTATGAGTACTATGAGTACTATTAGTACTATGAGTACTATGAGTACTAGGAGTAAAAGGAGTACCAGGAGTACCAGGAGTACTAGGAGTACCAGGAGTACTAGGAATACTAGGAGGACTAGGAGTGCTAGTAGTACTAAGAGTACTAGGAGAACTAGGAGTACTAGGAGTCCTAGGAGTATCAGGAGTACCAGGAATACTAGGAGTACTAGGAGTACTAGGAGTACTAGGAGCAATAGGAGTACTAGGTGTACTAGGAGTACTAGGAGTACTAGGAGTACGAGGAGTGCTAGGAGGACTAGGAGTACTAGTAGTACTAGGAGTACTAGGAGTGCTAGGAGTACTAGGAACAGGGAACTATGGTGGGAAATTTTATATCTAATATATTATATCTAATATTTTATATCTAATATTTTATATCAAGTTCTAGATTATCTTCTAACTTTGGTTAGATTTGAACTCAAAGTTTAAGAAAAGTTTATTTCCTAATCTTCTAATTGGACTCAGGTCGGTCCACTGGAACCCCTCTGGAACTGATCGAAATAAAGGAAACCGCAGGAAAATTATTAAATCTCAAATTAAGTCCAGATTTTTTTAGATGCAAAAATTAATTTGGTAAAAATCAGCAAAATAGATGATTTTTTGATTATTTTAAAAATAAAGCATAATATTCAAAACATTTTGTTGCCCTTCCTCAGTTCATGAATAAAAACATGGTTTACAAAACCTACACGATGACCAGGCAGAAACGTCAAAAATATTTTTTAAGTGCACTAACATTTTCAGCAAGCCTATTTGGCTCCAGTGTTTGTTATCCGTCTTTACTCTTAATTATTTATTTTTTCTGGGGTTTCTGTCTTCCCAAAAATATTCAATCGGGTCCATGGTTTCCAAAACCCCTCTGTCTAGTCTGTAATCTCTAGTCTATAGTCTCTAGTCTCGAGGCTCTAAGGCTCTATAGGCTCACCGCAGTTACCAATCTATAGTCTATGAATAGTCTCTAATCTCTTGTATTGTCTCAAGTCTCTAGTCTTTAGTCTCTTGTTATAAATACATATATATAAGGGTAAAGTTTATCCTGCCAAAGGCATTTTGAAACTAGTTTCTGGAAGAATATTGCACCTGTATAGAGGTATAATATTTTGAAACTAGTTTCTGGAAGAATATTGCACCTGTATAGAGGTGCAGAATATTATACCTGTATAGAGGTGCAGAATATTATACCTGTATAGAGGTGCAGAATATTGCACCTGTATAGAGGTGCAGAATATTGCACCTGTATAGAGGTGCAGAATATTGCACCTGTATAGAGGTGCAGAATATTGCACCTGTATAGAGGTGCAGAATATTGCACCTGTATAGAGGTGCAGAATATTGCACCTGTATAGAGGTGCAGAATATTGCACCTGTATAGAGGTGCAGAATATTGCACCTGTATAGAGGTGCAGAATATTGCACCTGTATAGAGGTGCAGAATATTNTGGACCCCCCCCAGCGTATCCTGGTTTTCAAGTACCCCAGCGGGGATAGGGTTAAAAGATGGAACCAATAGAAATTACTTTAAAGGGAGTGACCGGCAATGTATAATGGTGGTTGAACTGAATATGTGTTATTGTGAACAAACTTTTTTAGGATTCATTTGAGTCAAATAAAACGTTTCTTCGACGTATATTTACTGAGTTTGGGCACACAGTCGACGTTCAAAATCATGAAAAGTTGGATGGGCACATTTTTGTAATTATTAGATAACGACGACAAAAAATGTAACAAATATTCTACAGTAAACTAATTAATTGTTAAGGAACAGGTTCAGCAAATAAAAATTAATTCTTATCGTTGAAAATAAGTGATCTTATTCAATCATTAGTTTCTATAATCCCTCATTATTAAAAAAGATTTTCTGGAATTTTTATTGAAAAAACGACATTTAAAGAATTTATAGTAGTCTGCGAACAAATTCATAGAAAAAAAATTCAATATAATGTGGAAAACGTAATAATTGATTCTATCATAGATTTATTGAAATATGTTCCTAAACATCTAATTAGTTCACTATAGAATTTTTACTTTATTTTTCGTACGTCGTAGTTTAAAAAGAACCCGATTCTAAAAACGTACATTCATGATTTTGAATGTCGACTTTTTGCTCAAACTCAATATACGCCGTAGAAACGTTTTATATGTCTCAAATGAATCCTAAAAAATGTATCCACAATACTACGTATTTAGTTCAACAAAAATGCATTGCCAGTCACCCCCGTTAAAGGAACCTACTCTATTAAAGCAACAATTGTAAAGAAGAGAATGCAACCTACTATTAAAACATCAATGGTAAATAAGAGAATGCAACCTACTCTATTAAAACATCAATGGTAAATAAGAGAATGCAACCTACTCTATTAAAACATCAATGGTAAATAAGAGAATGCAACCTACTCTATTTAAGCAACAATTGTAAATAAGAGAATGCAACCTAATATTTAAAACATCAATGGTAAATAAGAGAATGCAACCTACTCTATTAAAGCAACAATTGTAAATAAGAGAATGCAACCTACTCTATTAAAGCAACAATTGTAAAGAAGAGAATGCAACATACTCTATTAAAGCAACAATGGTAAATAAGAGAATGCAACCTACTCTATTAAAGCAACAATTGTAAAGAAAATAATGCAGCCTAATATTAAAACATCAATAGTAAATAAGAGAATGCAACCTACTCTATTAAAACATCAATGGTAAATAAGAGAATGCAACCTACTCTATTAAAGCAACAATTGTAAATAAGAGAATGTAACCTACTCTATTAAAACATCAATGGTAAATAAGAGAATGCAACCTACTCTATTAAAGCAACAATTGTAAATAAGAGAATGTAACCTACTCTATTAAAGCAACAATTGTAAATAAGAGAATGCAACCTAATATTAAAACATCAATGGTAAATAAGAGAATGCAACCTACTATATTAAAGCAACAATTGTAAATAAGAGAATGTAACCTACTCTATTAAAACATCAATGGTAAATAATAGAATGCAACCTACTCTATTAAAGCACCAAAAACGAAGAGAATACACGCAAGCATCCAGGCCTCTATGGCAGTTAACCCTTCAGCCTAAATGATAAAAATGTATAAGATATTAAGATCCATGTCATCTTAAATCTAAAATGTTTGTTTGATTCCGTAGTGAATCAGACATGTAACTCTTTAAATGGAGAGTGACCGGAAATTACGTCGACGACAGTCCCTTTAATCTAAGAGTTTACCTTCGGTGTATTTGTTGTAACTGTATTGAAGATATTAACAAGAACCAGGAACAGTGTAACCAGCAGAGCCATCCGTCCTGGTATCACATCCATAGGTATCAGGAAGGATATCCAGGATACAATCACAAATAGTCCTAAATATCCAGAATACAATCACAAATAGTCTTAAATATACAGAATACAATCACAAATAGTCATAAATATCCAGGATACAATCACAAATGGTCATAAATATCCAGGATACAATCACAAATAGTCATAAATATCCAGGATACAATCACAAATGGTCATAAATATCAAGGATACAATCACAAATAGTCATAAATATCCAGGATACAATCACAAATGGTCATAAATATCCAGGATACAATCACAAATAGTCATAAATATCCAGGATACAATCACAAATGGTCATAAATATCAAGGATACAATCACAAATAGTCATAAATATTCTGGAGACAATCACAAATATTCCCAAATATACAGGATACAATCACAAATAGTCCTAAATATTCTGGAGACAATCACAAATAGTCCTTAATATCCAGGATACAATCACGAATAGTCCTAAATATCCAGGATACAATCACAAATAGTCCTAAATATTCTGGAGACAATCATAAATAGTCCCAAATATACAGGATACAATCACAAATAGTCCTAAATATTCTGGAGACAATCACAAATAGTCCTTAATATCCAGGATACAATCACGAATAGTCCTAAATATCCAGGATACAATCACAAATAATCCTAAATATCCAGGATACAATCACAAATAGTCCTTAATATCCAGGCTACAAATAGTCCTAAATATCCAGAATGAAATCACAAATAGTCATAATAATAATCCAGGATACAATCACAAGCAGTCCTAAATATCCAGGATACAATCACGATTATTCCTAAACATCCAGGATACAATAACAAATGGTCATGAATATTAAGGATATAATCATAATTAGTTTAAATAATCAGGAGACAATCACAAATAGTCGTAAATATCCAGAATACGATCACAAATGGTTATGAAATATAAATATCAAGGATATAATCATAAAGAGTTCTAAATATTCAGGAAACAATCACAAATAGTTCAAAATATTCAGGATACAATCACAAATAATCCTAAATATCCAGGATACAATCACAAATAATCCTAAATATCCAGATTCAAAGGTTTTCATTTAGCACTGTGTCCCTGTCTAATCCAGAACTCTATTCCGAGTATACAATTATTATTTTACTTGATTACAGGAACCTATAATACTTGCAGTATACTTTATACTCTAAACCTAGTACATTATTACAACCTTTTACATACATGGTTACCCACAAAGGACGAGAATTCAAAGACGAGTGTACGAAATTCTTACTGTCTGTTTTTTATATTTTTGTTTCCCTGTCTCTGTAAGCCAGATCATTAAATAAGCCATATTCACTTCAACATTGAACCATTAGATTTAAAGAGTTTCATATCTTCTTTGCAGTCTCATCCTTTGTGGTTAACTCTGTACCAAGTGTGTTGTACTTTAAGAACTACCTGGAAAAATAGACCTTAGGGAAGGTTCTTGTCGTGAGCACATATAGGTTTAAAACGTACTGAAAGAAATGTATTATGTGATTACATACGTTAAGACATACCTGACGGAAAGTAGTGCGCGCATATAAAGGTTGAAGAAAGGTAGTACGTTATTATATAAGTTGAAATTACATCAAAGAAGGCACTACGTGACTTTATACGCTAAACGGTATCTGAAGGAAGTCAGTACGTGATTATATTAGTTGAAACGTACCTGAAGGAAGGTATTACATAATTGTATACTTTGAAACGTACCTAAAGGAAGGCAGTACGTGATTATATAAGTTGAAACGTACCTGAAGGAAGGTAGTACGTGATTATATACGTTGAAACGTATCTAGTGAGCACCATCTCAAACCCGGAGAGGGAAAAATTTCCAAGATCTCCAAACACAATTACTTTGTCTGCCTCATCCAAAGGTAGAATTTCTAAATATAAAAAAAGAGATTGATAAGAATTCAGCGGTAGTAAATCAATTTAGGTCTGTCTAATTCAGCATTGATATCAAACAATGTTTTTAATAAGACCTGTTTTAAATTTGAAAAAAATTCGTTGCTGTCAGTAGAAAAGAACGGTATTCAAAAATACTAAATAAACGAAATTAAAATTCTGATAGTATGGACCCTGTACATTGTACATTGTATTTAAACTAAAAGTGTCACTAAGAGAAGATGTTAAATATACAGTGAAGATACGTTTAAATTTGATATCTCTCACT